TGACATGGGGGTTGGGGGGGAAGGTGGGAGGTGGCTCAGAATCCCAGCAGCTACCCTGGCAGGCCCATAGCCTGCATAGGTGCAGCTCAGCCCTGAGATTCGGCTTCTACAGGCCCAGTCATCCTGGGCAGTCTGCCGCACCCCCACCCTGCCCCCACCCCAGCCCGTCTGATGCAGGGGCACAGCTTTGATGCAGCTTGGATCAAACTCGTTGGAGGCCCTTGAACGGCTGACATGAGCTCCCTGCAGTGCACAAGCCTGTGGTCTTGGACTGGGTGTGGGAGGTGGGTTGTTAGGGAGCCCTTGGGGATGTGGGTAGGTAGCCTTGGGACAGCCGTAGGGGATGATGGGGGTCGTGGGTAGAGCCATTGGACGGTGAGACCTTGAGGTGGCTGTGGAGTGAATTACTTTTCAGACAGTCAAGTTCCCTTGGGGGGACTTAAACCTCTCACTTTCCTGTTTGCAACCGAGCACTTCATCATTGGCCACCCCCGCTCCTTACTCTGAAGTACCCCAATTCCGACTCACAGGCTCTCTGAGATTATAAATAAATCTTTAAGGGACCAGATAGCTTCAACACCCTCCCAAGTTGCAGCTGGTAGGTTTGAATGGCCGACCTTGCAGTTCACAGCTCAAAGTCCAATCCACAGTGCCACCCACGTTCCTTGCTCTGAAGCCAAAATGCAAAAACCTCACAGCCATTGAGTCAATTTCACCTCATAGTGACCCGACTGGACAGGGTAGAGCTGCCCCTGTGGGTTTTTGAGACTCTAACTCGTTACTAGAGCTGAAAGCCTTGTCTTCCACCTGCAGGGCGGCTGGTGGTTTTGAACTGTTGACCTTGTGCTTAGGAGCCCAATGAGAAACCACTACGCCAGCAGGCTCCTTCCCAGAAGCAAAGCACACATAAGTAAACAGGTAGTGGCCAACTCTGCCCTCCACAAGGTGACCTCACCAGGAATCCACGGAAGCCTCGGAACTTCAAGCCTTAAAACATCCCGGGGATTTTATCTTAAAGAACGGTCATCTATTCTAAACCGAACTCTTACTCAAAGCTCAAGGTGGTACTTCTTTGGAGGTTTATCACGGTCGGTTTAGAGATGCTACCTGAGGTGGGTTTGGGTTTTAGGTCGGCACAAAGGCCCTAAGGCCTACTGGGGACTGGCTGGGTGGGGGAATGAAGCCTGCGGCTTGCCCACACCTGTGCCGGACACGCCTGCCCTCCCAGTCCAGCGCACTGGAGCCCAGGGCCCTGCAGGGGGAGGCACTTGTGCACAGACGCAGGACACCCCTCAGACCAGGATGGTCTGTGCCTTGCAGACTTGAGGTGTGTCCCTAGAGGCGGACCACACTCTCTGCTTCACCTTCCTGTTGACAAGCCACTTGGAGCCCTCACCAGCCCTGAGATGCCTCCATGGCTACTGGATCCACAACTCGCCACCCACTGGCCTGTGATCTTCTTGCATTCGGCATCATTGCATGTGCCGTGAGTCTGAAGAGGAATTTACGGACTAGTATCAGACATATGGGCTAATTTCAGACTTAAGGACTTAATCTGGACTAGGCTGGGATGCTTTCTCAATATGCAGTTACTCTGATATAAAGCTCTTCCTTAGACACATGATGTCTCTGGATTTGTTTCGCCAGTCAACCCGGACTAACACACCTGGAAACCTAAACGTTTTATCCGGTTTTAAAGAGAGGTGCTGAGTCAGAATCAACCACTGGCAGTGGGTTTAGTTTAGTTTTGGTCCCTAAACTTCTAGAACATCTCCCACTGAAACCATTGGGCATGTCTAGGCTTCATCCTACAGGCCAGCCCAATGCCTGAGGAGCTCTGTTCCTGTCATGGAAACGTCCCATGGTTCCAGAGACGGTGCTGGGGGCCCCATGACGGACTCCATATGTCGCCCTGCCAGAGAGCCTGTTGCGGTGGACAGGTGGTGGACAGGTGGAAGGGGAGGACTGGATCATTCCGGCTCCATTTTGTCCCTTGTCTGTGCAATCAGTTCATGTCAGGGCCATGGAAATATCACCAGCAAAAGAATGTCGAAAAGGGCAAAACACGTGCTTCTGTTTTTTGAAAGGACAGAAGCCCGGCTGCAATATAAGGTTCTCTTTCCACACCTTCCCCCTCAGAGGTCCTGGGCCCTGCTGGATCTCCCCTCAGCAGCACCTGCTTGCGGAGAGGAGAGCTCCCAGAGAGGCCTTTTCCCTCCGCCAGCGTTGTGGGGTGCTGTGGGGGGAAGCCAAGTGCTTTGAGGCAGGGGGAGGGCTGTGTGGGGGAGGGGTGCTTTGGGGTGAGGGTCTGCAGTGTGGTAGGGGGAGGAAATGCTTTGGGTCCAGGCATTGTGGTAGGGGAGTCCTTTGGGGCGGGGCTGAGCGCGCCCTCTTGTGGCCGTCGGGCAGCTCGCAGCTTCCCAGGTAGGAAGGTCCATCCCACCCATTTAGTTCCAAGCATCCCAAACCGGAAGGTCGCGCAGTGGGGCTTCTGTCGCGCAGTGGCACCTGCTACCAGGTTTAGGGCGGGGTGAGCTCTAACCCGCGCGGTGGCCGTTAAAGGGTGATCCAACGGGAACCCCAGGATGCGCTGCCGGCCCCAGGATGACCTGCGGCCATCTGGAGGCCACCATGCAGTCCTGGGCGTGAGGAACAGGGGCTCCCGGATGGGGCACACTGTCCTCCAGTGACAAGTGAAAACTGGTGGGACAGCAGCTCTGCCAGAGCTCCGCCTTCTCTTGCGTCATGGGTCACATCAGCCCATACTGGCAGGAAATTCAGGTCCTCAGGAGCATCCACAACCCCTGCCGAGCGGGTGCCAGCGCACCCAGGCATGGCAGTTCATCCAAGTAGGTGGCCTTCTGTGCTCACGCAAACATGTACACACTCGCATAGCCACGTGCCAGTGTGGGCAGACACGTGCTCTCGTACACACACGTCACAAGGCTAATGAAACCATGTCATGAAGGCCATGGGATTTGCCCACTCCCCTTGGAAGCCCGCGATCAGCACATATCATAGGGATCACAGAGGGACACTCCCCCTGCCCATCACTTGTGGGCAGCAGCAGCTGGCACCTGCAGTCCAGATCGTGACTCATTTCCAGACACCTCCACTTGGCGTGGCCAGTGTGCCGGGGCCCATGGTTTCTACAGCACCCTCACCCCAGCCTTTGTCCCCAGAAAGCTGGTGTCTCCCTGGGCCCCTTCTCCACACTTGGAACCTAACGCTCTTGAAGGCAGCACGCTGAATGCTCCTTCAGGGTGGATTCTAAACCCATCTGGTCCCAGTGGCCAGGAAGCCAGTCTGGTGTTGGCCTCCCTCCTCTGATGGCAGCTGCTCTCAGCACAGGTCAGCTCCTCCCCCGTCCTTCCCCAGCAGGGACATCTGTCTTTGGTTTCACAAGTCAACCCAAACTCACACACTTGGAACCTAACCGTTCTGCTCTGTCTTAGAGTTGCTGTGAGTCAGAATCAACTACTGGCAGTGGATCTAGTTGTTTGGGGTTGTGGTCCCTGAACTTCTAGAACATCCCCCACTGAAACCATTGCCAAGGTCTAGGCTTCATCAATTCCTTTCGTGTGTGAGGCACGTCCAGTCCAATCAGCATCAGTGTGTGTGTCCGCATACCACATGCCAGGTCAGGATGGTCATCAATGTAACCCACCAGCACCTGCGTTGTGTCCTCTTCTCCGACACCGGTCCTGGCAGAGGCTGACCACTCCAGAGCCCTTCCTCCACCCAGATACAAACCCATGGTGGCCACGTGGTAGCCTGAGTCCTTGTTCAGGCTCTCTCTCAGTCAACACAGGGAAGCTCTGAAGATCCTCAGGGCCCAACCCTGTACCTGATGTGGCAATACCCAGTCCCAGGGAGGGGCCTGGCACACAGCACCCACACAAGGATCTGTGGAATGAATAAATATACTGAGATGCTTCCAAAGGGCAACACAGATGTTTATATATTTATAAATTAGAGTTACTAAAAAAAAACAATGGTGAGGGAGTCACAAAATAGTTGACAAGTGTGATTTTCCAAGGGCAGCAAGTGTAAATAAAATATAGGCAACAATTCCATTTGAGGGTGAATCACTTCACGGTATTTCATGGCACTTAAAGAGAGCCCCTCGGGGAGTACTGAGAGCCCGTTAGACGTGGCTGAGGACACAGGTGCGTCACCGAGCGTTCTCCTTCACCTGTGTCGGCTGACGCCTTGCCGAGGGCCACGCTACGATCAGAACAGTGGTCCGTTAGGTTCACGTTTCTCTTTTATTATAAAAACACACAAGTTTTAAGAAATGATGAGTATAAGACAGATCGGGAGCACGGTGAGTTATTAACCCATTTTCTATATACAAATACTAAGATTCCCAAAGTGGAACAGCATCAATGTGAAGCACATTATAGCACTGTCTCGAATGGAGGTACACGGCACAAACGGCCAAGAGGCCATCTCGGAAGCTTACATACATGCCGTCCGCACCTGGGCCTTCAGCGAGCCGGCCGTGCTGCCTCCCGGCAAGAGCTTCAGAGAAGACTCGCCGACAGATGTTTCCGTGGAGACCCCTGCAGCCCCTCTCAAGGAACCACCCCCCACCTGGAAGGGGACCGGCCTACTGATGGCGGAGACAGGAGAAGCCTCTCATTCCTTCTAGTGGGTCTGGGTTTTTGGAGTCAATCATGGGAGCAGAGTCCTAAAGCTGCTGGGGAACCAAACAAATAACATGTTTGTCTTGTGAAATTCATTATAAAATGTTGCTCAATTTTAAAAGCCACTAAAAGGACACTTTCTGCAGCAAAAAAGGGCTAAGTTCAAGTTTCTGCCAGTGGACCTGGTACAGGGACCTGGGGTCCGGGGATGGCAACGGCATGTGTGAAATGTGTGCGGCCAGCGGCCAGCAGGCAGGAGGGTTCGCCGCTCCCTGTCACCAGCCTCAGGGGGGACTTTCCTCCTTGGTTCTGAGGTCACTGGCCTGTGAGCATTCAGACAACGTGAAGGCACTTCTCTGGACATAAGGCCGCCTGGGACCTAGCCATGCCCCTCCTCTTGCTCCTCCTCGCACAGCGCACCAGCTTCCTCCAGGTAGGCGACCACGGCGGTCGGGACGCTTTGCGACGAGTCCTTCTGCCAGGTGTCCAGTATCTGGGATATTCCTGCTGGATTGCTGGGACTCAGGTCACAGAGGGCATAGACGGCTGCTAACTGGACGCCCCAGGGTATATCTGAAAAGGAGGTTCAAGTAAGTCAGTACCTGAGGCGATCGATGGTCTTTCTAAATCTTCAATGACAATTGATTAAAACATTATACAACAATGGGATGCTTTCTGCCAATGAGAATAAAACGTAAGAAAACACCAGTGAGTACAGTGAGGCATTCATTTCAGACACACATCTCTTACACTCCCACTAACCCCACAACAGCTCTGGAGGGCACACTCCCACATAGGGGCTATAATGCAGTGGGGGGTACGGGGGTTGGGGTGGGTGGTGGTCAAAAAGATCGTGGGAAATTCTATTACCATTCATTCCATCAGTCCGCAAACTTTTTGAAAGCTCCCCCATGCAGTGAGGTTACTGAAACTTTCCACACAGAAACGGCTTTGTTAAATGGGCTCCTCAAAATACCTAGAACATGGAACGTAAGCTGTGCCCACGGAAGGGTTATCAGAACCTCCTCCTTTGAGCTCAGGTCTACCGGGAGGGGGGCGGCTTGGTGGGAACCAATCCTTAGTTTGGGTTGCAGATTTCTCCTAGTTACTTGGGAAAGCAGCTAGTGGGGGGCCTCTCTGTCCTTCCCAGCCGGCTCGGCTCAGGGAGACCCCAGGTGTGTCCAGTGGTACAGCTGTTCCCCACATAGGCTCTGGAGTCAGATCGCCCGGCCTTCCTGTGAAGAGCCAGGGGCGCATTGGACCGGCCCCCTCTGGGCTAGTACTGAGCGTGGCCAGCTGCACGACCAGGGGGACTACTGGCTCCTTACAGAAGACCGCTCTCCACTAGGCTGGTGACTGCCTTATCCACTGCAGACTAGAACGAGGAGCCGTTTCCGGTGGGAGAAACCATCAGCTGTCAAGGACGCCATTTCAGAGCCCTGTCCAGGCTCCACACAGGACGAAGACAGAAGCCCAGGTGCGGCCCAGGGACCGTCACAGAGCCTCAGCAAGCAGCGTGCTCGGTGGGCTCACAGCTCCCTGGGGAGGAGAAGAGCACAGGCACGCCTGCACCTTGCTGCGTCCGTCAGTCAGAGGCAGGTTACTACAGAGGTGTGCGGCGGGTGGTCACTGCACCAGTCAGGCCCAGGGGGGTTGGCAGGCAGGGCCCCGGAGCGGGGAGCTGAGTGCTAGTGAGGCCAGTGAGTATGCCTGGGCCTGTAGCCGCCACAGCCCACAGGGTGGGCATCAGCACCCACCTGCTCATTCAGGTATGACCACGGGACAAGGGGTCACACGCAGCTCGTGGGTGAGCAGAGAGGTACTGGGCATGCCCCACAGCCAGGACTCCCCGCAACAGGACGAGAGGCGCAATGGCTACAACCCCTTCCGAAGCAGTCCTCACCTTCGTCCTGAGCATGCTGGATGAACATGCCGATCACCGAGCTGATGTTTCTCACGGCCGATGGAAATCCTTCCTTTAGACCCAGCTGGCCAAGGCGTCCTGGAGGAATCGAGGGGCAGAAACCACACGGTCTAGGTTAGCTGCTGATTACCTGCCCACAAGACCTACAGTGCGGCTTCTTTTGCATGAGGTCACGTGAAGGGCACCGCACCGCTAGGAACCAGGACCAGGGACACCGGCTTCCACTAGCCCGTCTTTAAGGGGCACGCAAAGCACCAGGGCAGACTGTCGGCGGGCACACTGGGCATTAGTGGGACTTGGAAGAGCAGCTTCAAACAGCAAAGGTGAGAGGACGAAGTCTGCTTAGGCTGGCAGATCAACCATAGACCAGGCCCCGCTCCAAACCCACTGCCATCACGCCACTTCTGACTCATGGCTACCTGCAGTAGTCGAGCGCCCGAGGGTTTCAGAGAATGTCCATTTTTACAGGGGCAGCTGAGGATTGCAACTGTAACACAAACGTCCACCCAAACCCCTTTCAACCACTGTGATCCAGAGGCCTTGCTCACTCAGCCGAGCGAGTCTTCCTCAGCACCAGTCTGAGGTCATGTTCACCTCGGTGCAGGCTGGGAGAAGCTCCGACAGCTACAGCGGCTCTTACTGATGGGACCAGGGCCCATGCCGTGTCCCTGTCCTACATGAGTTGACCGCTGGCTGAACTCCTGGACACCGAGTGCCCCAGGCCTCCTAACAATCATCCACGGCTGCTCCCATCCAGGCTGATTTCCTTCCAAAAGGAGCAGGGTCGCCCTTCAGAGAAAGCAGTCACTGCTGACAATGACGAAGCCTGAGTTGTCATCCAAGTCAGGACTTTAGAGAACTTCTGTCAGCCATGCTGAGAAGGCCATACGTCAGACTTCCCCAGGGAGAACACCGGCATTACTACGTGTGTCAATGCCCGTTCTGGCCAGCTTTCACCTTTCACACTACAGCTAGGAGCGCGCGCTGCTTGTTGAGCAGTCCTGTCCTCAGAAAGATGTGTCCATCTGCTCCCACGAAGGTTTGCAATCTTGGAAATGCCATGGGGCAGTTCTACTGGAGCCTAGAAGGATCGCTATGGGTCAGAATGAACTCAATGCAGTGGGGTGGTTGGTGCCCCATCAACACCAGGGAGCCATAGCATTCCAGTCAGGCCACAAACAGTCTGGTACATGCTACCAAATGGCTTCTACGCCCTTCAAGTGTGAAGTGCAGGCGGTTAAGCCCTGGACTGCTAACTGAGAGGTTAGCGGTTCAAACCCACCAGCTCTGCTCTGCATGGGAAAGACGAGACGACAGCCTTGGAAACGCTAAGGGCAGTCCTCTGTTCTGCAGGGGCAGGGGCAGGCAGAATCAACTCGGCAGCAGGGTGTAACACACCCGAACTCGGCTCCTCTGCTAGTGGGGTGCAGGCGTATAGTCCCCAACATTTACGAGGATCCAGAGCAGCCGAGGCTGTTCATGGAGTGGTCTCCAGTGTGTGAGCCAGAAGAACTGAGTCCCGTTTGGTAGTCATGCCCAAGTCACAGGGGCGTTTACAGAGCGACTTCCGGAGATCCTTATCTACCGGTGTCCCTCAGAATGACCCTCTCAGAGGCCTCACCACGCCCACTGCACTCACGTCCCACGTCTAGTTTTGCCCCGGAGGTCCACAGCCTGCTGCTCTTGTGAATGCACACAACCCTTGCTCTGGACCAACCAGCACCTCCTGCCACCAAGCCCGGCTCCTCACGCATGCCTGGCTGCCGGCAGAGAGGTCACCCGGGCCTACTTGAAGGCTGCGGTGCCCTGCCCCCAGTCCCTCCCCGTGGTCAGTCACCCCAGACGCACAGGAAACGTGGCCGCAGATAGAGGACAGGTTGCATCAGGGCGCTGACAAGGACAGAGGACAACAGTGGACACATCTGTCTGGGAGCACAGCGGACGCCACTGCTCCGTGGGCCGAGGACGGCGAGCCGAGCTGGGAGCTGTGGTCAGAGGAACCAGTGCCTGCTGACGGTGCCGTGCTTGGGGACAGGGCGGCAGAAAGAACTCTCAAGCTGATGGGCTGACAGGCTGCGCCGCGGGCTCCCCGCTGGACATGACGGTGAGGGTGGAGCAGGACCGGGCATCCCTGTGAGCCGGAGCTGACTCGGGCACACTGAGCACCAGCACCGTCAGACCAGCCAAGTGTCGGAGCGGGATGCCACGCTCCCCACGACGCAAGTCCACCAGTGACGCTCGCCTGGGTAAGTCGAGAGCCGCTTTAGGGGGACGGTGGTGCTCTGCTTATGCTAAGGGTGAGATTAGACTACAGCAGAGGTCACGTTATAGCAATCTACATGCCCGCTGTGTGCGGCCACTGCACAGTAATATGTGCATCGAACATGAGTTCAATGATACACTCTCAATCCTGGACAAAGACAGACAACCCCTCATTTACAAATCAAGGCGGCAAGAAAGAGGGCGGAATCAAGCAGCAGAGCTGCCTGCTCAGACCATGCTAAGAAACCAGTCACTGAGGCAAGGGCTCCGGACCAACACGGCTGTCACCATGCACGCCTTCCTTCCGGAGACGTCATCAATAGCAGGAGTGCACAAGGACACACAACGAACTCACCGATGAGTCTCAGGACGGACGCGACAATGACATCAGGGGTGTGCGTGGTGTTCGCGTGCCCCTTCCTGTACTTTATCCATTTGTCCATGACCGGCCACAGTTCCTTGCTGTGAAATAGAAGGGCAAGTACTGAGCATTTACCTCTGTGGGCTGTGCTGATGCCCTTACTAAGAAAAGGAAATGTGAACCAAAGAAAACAGAAGATAATGGTGTCCCCAATGTGCTTGCCCTGGGACACCGACAGGCTCTCTGCAGGAACACGTGTGGATTCATAGCGGCTGCCGTGCAGGGCTCGGGACGGAAGTGGTGGGAGCTGCTCCAGGAGGTCCGCCCTGCCCTTACTAAGCCTGGGCCCCTGGCCCCACTGCTGTGCTACCTCCAGGGTCCCCCACGAGCGCCGCAGCACCCATTCTGTGACCCTGCTCATGACGTGAGAACATGCGGTGGGCAAGTAGCCTCGGCCACCCATCCGTGCAGAGCTGTCTTAAGAGGCAGCTCCCTGCTGCCAGCCACTCCCCTTGGGTCTGACCAGAGCTTGTCTCACACTCGTGTCCCACCCCTGTGCCCGTCTCCACAGAACACATCCTGAAAGACCGACAGAGAGAAGGCCTGGACTACAGGCTGTATTCCCTCCCCACCCAGCCTCCACCTCCAAGGGAGGCCCCATGGGATTCCAGATGCATAGAAGAATACACTAAAAAACAAACAAAGGAACTTTCCAGGACCCTTTAAAGGCCACTTGTACCACTGGTGCCTCAGAGCATCTGTTCTCTCCCCAACCCCAGGTGGGCAGGGCTGCTGGCCTGGAGGCCCGCCCTAGCAGTATGTTTCAGTGACCATCACCGGCTGCGCTCAGCCTGTGCCGTGGAGACGGAGTGGGCATGCTGGCACATGGCAGTGGCCACAGGGCATCAGTGAGGAGACAGAGACTGGCACCAGAAAACAAGAAGGCAGAAGAACAGTTTATGACCCAAGTTGAGACGCTGGCAGCTGACGCGCTTTCAGTGGAGAAACATGATCCAAACCAAGGGCCCACTCCTCCTCCAGGCCACCACTCAACGCCAGCAGCCCCTTTTCACTGTCGGCTGGCAGTGCCCCGCGCCTCACAATCTCCCCGAGTCTGCATCCTGCGCCTGTGCCCTGCACACCAGGCCGCCTTGCATCCAAACCTGCACCTCACGTTTCCCTGGTCCACAGCCCACACCTCAGGCCCCCTGCACCTGTGCCCTGCACATTGGGTCACCCTGGATCCACCCCCCACACCTCACATGTCCCTGGTCCTCTGCCCCACAACTCATGCCCCCCTGGTCCCCACACCCTGCATTTCACATGCCCCCTGGGTCTGCACTGCCGGTCCACAGCCCGCACCGCCGGTCCCCCTGCGTCCACAGCCGCACCTTATGATGTTGTCATGCGTCCACACCCACTTCTGGTGGCAGCAGAGCAGGTCAATGGCAAATATGCACTCCCACGTGTTCTCACTCAGGTCTTCACCAAACCTCTCGCTCGAATGAAACTCTGTGTTTGGACATAACTGTATTGTCAAAAGCAGCTTAGAAACCATGAAGCCAACATCTACAGGAGCATTCTAGCAAACAAAACAGAAAACACAAGTTGGAGTCTCAATAGAAGACAGTTCGTCCCAGCACTCCCCCAGAGCACAGCAAACTTCTCTCTGTCACTCACTCACTCACACTCTCTCTCTCTCTCACACACACACACACACACACGTCCATATAGCAGCCACATTTTCAACTCAAACTGGAGTAAGTCATACAAGTTACAATAAAGAACCATCTCCTCCTTCCACTTTTCTGCCAAGGGAGCGCTGACGGCAATTCCCGGCATTCTTCCAAGTCTGTGTGTCCCTGTTAGATCTTCAGCCAAGTGGAGAAAGTGACAGTCGTGTGCTGGTTCTCACTGCTGTGTGGACACTGCAGTCTGTCCATCCACTGACCCTCTGAAGGTTTCTGGGTTTCCTCCGGCTTGGCGACAGTGAACAACACGCGAGTCTTCACATGGGCACACACTCACTTCCCATTGGAAAAGGCTGGGCCGTGTGATCAGTTAGGTTAACTTCATACAGAGCAGCCCAACTATTTCCCCAGTGGCTGTATGTACCACGTGACATTCCCACCAGCGTGGCGTGGAGGTTCCAATAGAAAAATGGTGTACATGTAACACAGGATATAGACTCAGTACAACAAAGAGTGGAAGCCTGACAATTTGCATGACAATTTCAAGGGCTCAGGGGGTTGACTGATAGACTGAGAATAAAGGCCTGGCAGTGGTGTTGATTTTCTGATATTCTGACCGAGTATAAGATTTTCTGGCAGATAAGCCAGAACTAAACTGCTGCTACTACTGTGAGGTGTGGTGCAGTCAATTCCGACTGATACAGACCCGTGGAGAAGGGAACGAATCACTGCCCCATCTTCTGCCGCCTTGGCTTCACATTGTGATGTCTGAAGCCCACTGAAACCCATTGTTTTGACCCATCGGTCCAGGGCCTGCCTCTTCTGCATTGCCCCTCTCTGCTCTACCACGCCCGATGTCCTTCTCCAGAGACCAGGCTCTCCTGGCGACACGTCCAAAGTAGTCAGACCAAGGCTCGCCACCCTTGCCTCTCCGGATCATTCTGGCTGTACTTCTTCCAAGACAGATGTGTTTGTCCTTCTGGCAGTCCAGGGTACCTTCGACACTGTAATTCAAAGGCTTCGATTCTTTTTTGGTCTTCCTTATTCAACGAACTAAATGTGATCCAAAATATTCTACCTGGGTGCACGAGCACTTAGCAGAGATAGTAAACAAACCCCAAGGGAGTGTACAAACAAACAGTCACTGTGAGTGGGCAATGGGCTGTTTCTTTAGGGTGCAAAAGTGACTTTGCAATCTTTATATAAAGCAGGATGCTTTGTTTCTTCTCTGGAAGGTGCAGACATAAAGGGGCACGGGCGAACAAACCAAGCTACTACTGTGATCTCCTGTATTGAAGGAGACATCCCAGAGACTGTGAACATGAGTCTGAGTGTCTGTTAGTTATACTGTCTCAAAGCGTATGAGAATCTGCTACATTTCAGCTGTGATTATACTTGGGAGTGCTTACTATTAGAAGATGTTAACTAGCTATTAGAACTCAACCCACAACACCAAACCCACTGCGACTGGGTCGCGTCGAGCTCGCTGTGGCCGCCCCTTCGGGTGTCCAGGGCTCATCTGCACAGGGGCAGAGGGTCGCTGTTTTCTACCGTGAAGCTGGTGGTCCAGGCTGCTGAGGGCCGATCGCCAACGTTTGGGGCATCAGCAGCTTGCTTCACTACTGCACCATCAGGGCTCCTTAGAGAGGAGGAGGCTTCAAAATGTTCATGGAAACTTCCACCCTCTTTCAATGCCAGTTTCCCCTAGCTTTCTGACCACTGGCCGATGTATAAGGAGATGCAAGTTAACAATGTTCAATACGGCTGCATTCAGAGTATGACTTTTTACATTTGAGAGTCACCAAAGTGTTTCAAAATACTCGATTACATCGGAAAATGCTAAGAATTTTAAATACATCTTATTATATACATTACGTTTAAAACTATGAAAATTACAGACTTGAACTTTGCAGAAGATTTCCATCTGTTACAATTAATCAATGACCAAGGCAAGTTTTAGCTTTGTAACTGATCTATGAATGCAACAAGATTCATCATTTTAAATGCTATCAAAACCACACTCATTTGAGAATTTAAAAAATTTAGCATCAACCTAAGTCAAATTGTCATTTATACACATCAAAGAGTCATCTAGATTTGAATAACTGTGTTGGAAAAATTCAAGAGACCACATCAGTGAAGAGGACTCTCCCTATTCCTGGTCTCACCCTGAAACCAGCAGTTGTTTGCCAGCAGGGGAAGAAATGCTACTGGTTTCTTGTCAGCCAGCGGAGCGGTGTTCACCAACTCTCCTTCTCCTTTTCACCCCAGAAAGCGCATGACTCTCTCCCACTTGAATGTATTACACTGACTTCTTGACACCCGACAGAGAATTCTTCTTGAGGTGCGTCACAGAGATGTAATGCTTCATCTCTGCTTTCAAAACCAACCACCTCCTGAAAACAATCTTTTACCTTTCTTGTAAGCGGTAGTATTGCGATGTCCTTGGAAAGGAACTGAAAGCCCCACCTTCCCTTATGCCTGAGAGAACTTCAATGTGCTCTTTCGTCAACACCACCAATAAGTGCGGTTTTCCATAGTAAGCTTTCGTGGTCATTTCAGTCCGTTTCGTGCTAACTGGAATGAATTGGCTTTACTTTAAAAACAATGCCCGTAAGTTTCCACTTTGCCAAAAGACATCCCAGATTCCCAAACCTATTGATTTCACACAGGAGGCCAATCTAAAGACCCCGGCCTCTGCCCTGAGCCCCATAGTAATCAAATTGATACCTTTGCTTTTAAAAACTTTAAAGAGGTCTTTTGTCGAAGATTTGTACTAACAAGCTCTTGTGTAACGTTTCACTCGATGGTTCCAGTGGCTTTGATTATGGCCCCGAGAGAAGAAAGCCTTGACAACGTCAGTCCGCTGCCTCGTCACCACGATGCTGCCCATCGGTGCAGTCACGGGGGCTTTGGTTACATGAGATAGAGCCCACACTGAAAGACGTCGTTTCGGACCTTCAACATTTTCAGTCACTTCATCGGCAAGCGCTCCTCCCTTTCAGGCAGCCAAGTGTGTCCCCTGTGTGTCGCAGGTTAGTCAGCAAGCGTCCTCCGATCTCCATGCTGTTTTCTTCTTCATAGTCCAGCTGCTTGGGATGATTTGCTCAGCACAGAGATTGAGTAAGTGTGGTCAGAGGATACAACCCTGCTGCACACCTTTGCTAATTTTAATCCAAGCATTATCCCCCAGTTCTGTTTAAATGTTTGCCTTTCTTGATACACAGGGTCCGCACAATTAAGTGTTCTAAAACTCCCATTCTTCACAATATTAGCCATAATTTATTATGATTCACAGAATGACTTTGCTAAGGCAGTAAGACTCACGAAACATCTGTGTATCCACTGATTTCAGCGACTATCAAACCGACATCAGCCAGGATATCTCGATCCACAACTTCCTCTGAATCTGGTAGCTCCCGGTCAATAAAGTGCTAAAGCCATTTTGAAATTACCTTTGGCATAATGTCACTACATGTGGCATTAATGATGTTGGCTACTTTTCCTGTGAACGGGCACAAGTACAGACTTCTTCCAGCTGACGGGTTAAGAATCTGCTCTCTAAATTTCTCGGGAGAGACAAGCGGGCACCTCCTTCCCTCCATCGGCTGCTTGAAGCTTTCTTATCGGTATTCCTCCAGCCTCAGTTTTGCCAGTGTCACCCGGGCCATTTGGGTGCCTTCCTGTAAAAACGTTGGTTGTTGATTGTGGGCTTTTTCTTGAAAAAATGGTTGACCGACCATTCTTCCTGGTACAGTGTGCACTCCTTCCACCTTCTCCCGAGGCGCCGGCGTCACTCATTACTCTGCCCACAGAACCCTCGAATGTCACCCCCGAGGCTTGTCTTTGTTAGGTTTGCAGCCCATCCAGCTTGAGAAGTGCCGAGCAGGGTCTTCTCGTTAGGCTTTCCAGTCACAAGGCTTTGCTCACTTCTGTCTTAAACGGCCCTGGCAGATCTTCTGCTCAGCTCTTTCACGTCACTCATGATTCCACTTTAGCCACTCCACGTTCAAGAGCAAGCTGCCATTTCTGCCGAGGTCCGTGTTGCTCTTTGTCTTGCCTGTTGTTTCTGCCATCTCCACACATGGAGCTCTTGACGCTCCCACACAGCTCCCAGGTCTCCTTGTGTATGTCTTGCCATTCAGTCTGTCTTATTTCAGAAGCGACGTTGAAGTCTGTCTGCCATGATTCGCTATGATGGCACCTGGAACACCGGCTCCCTAACTTCCAGCATCACCCCAGTAAGTCGGACACAACAGCATGGAGAACAGAGATGAGGGGTGGACCTTTAGCCTTTCATAAAAAAACCGAAATCAAATGAATCATCATACCCAAAACCACTAAAAAGCAAAGGAAAATGGCACAGGAAATAGCACTGTATGCACAATTCCACTCTTTGCGTTTTAAAGGAGAAACTGATGCATGAACATTGAAAGAGGGCACACAGTCCACCCCATCTTTCCTGACGTGGACCCTATTTTCAGTCACCCCATCGGCACCCAGAGAACCGCATTACGTTGGATCTACGAATAAAAGAGCACTTCTAGCTAGTGCATTAGCACATTAATCACTAAAGACCAAGAAATGGGAAGTGACATAGCAACAGAGGGAAGAAATAAAAACACTTTCATCTTGGAAGAAAAAGCATTAAATTTAACAGGTTTTCATAGCTGGAACACCAAGCTTTCAGAATCTCTAATAAGCCATCTATTAGAAGAGCAATAATTTATATCTTCTCTGAGCCCTTTATTGGGGAAAAACATACGCTTATATACATGTGTATGGTTTTGTCAGTCATAAGTTATTGTACAAACTGCTAAAACTGCAGCACAGACCCCTAACATTCCTCTTGGAATGTCTCTTAAATAAGAGCAACATGCATAAGCTTAAGCAAAAATGATTATTTAAATAAATCCAACACAAAAAAATAACATCTTTAAAATGCCTATGAGCCAATGGGAAAAAAAACAGCAAATAACACTGATGTCAGCTCTCCAAGTATGGTACGACAGGGAACGAAAACACACTCACCTTCTCCCAGTTGAGAAAGGCTCTCAGACAGTTGAGAACCTCTCCTTTTGCACGCTGCCTGGCGACTAACTGCATCGCTTTATTGATCACTGATTGTGAGATAAAGATATCACGCCACATGTTTGCAATAAACAGAGTCAGTTTGTCAGACTCGGGGAAATCTACGAGGAAGAAAAGGAAATAAGCAGCAGTTAGGTCTGATCCAGTCAGTGAATGCGTGCCACACACCAAGCACACGCTGGGTCAGTCCACATCACCAAGACGTCAGGGGTGTCCCCGTCAGCAGGAAGGGGAATGCACAGCCCAAGAGAGGCCCGGCTGTAGCCACAGCCAAGACGACATTGCCCCCTCCGCCCTGCAGCCAACTCAATGATAATCTAAACGCAAGCAAAACATGAATACACGTGTGGAAAAAAGAACAGAAACGAATAAAAGGGACCCGTGTCCCCCGAGCCCCTCCAGAGGTTGGCACGGGTCCTCTCAGGCTGTCTTAGGCACTTAACACACACAGGACTGCCTATGTGTCTGAGGCCTGTGACGGGAAGATCACTATGCTTCCCAAAGACTGAGTAGCAATCCTCCAGTTGCAAACCCCTCTGCCCACATTATAGCTGGTCTTTCATTTCATTGTAATCGTTTTATTATTAGGGGTTCATCCAA